GCGGCTGGCCGAGAGTAACTCAGGTTACATGTCTACGTGGCAACTAGACCCAAATTTTTACAATGTTTAAGAGTCACATGTCCCATTTAGTGGTAGCTCCACCGTAGCATACACATCATACTGTATGTGCTATAGTCAACCAAATATTAGAGTGATAAGATTGATACCCTCTTTGTCACCGTGTGAGCTCTAAAATTCCCTATACCTTTAGACCCACAGCTATGTCATGAAGTCGAGGTTCGAAATAACTACTTTAGCATGTCACCATAGATACAGTCACATGGAACATGTCTAGGAAAGTGCACGACTCAAAATGGATTGATATGAGATTCTAGGGAAGGTACACGTAATTTGGTCGTTCATTGCCCGGACTATTATTGTGGTTAGTTGTGTAAAATAATCATGAACACAAATATGAAATGAGTTTAGTCAAGTGTTGCTCTAAGACAAGTCTCAAGAAGTATATATGATACTTGATTTGTGTAATTTAAGGTATCTAGGGTATAGGCGAGAACTCGTCAATGACGTGCTATGTTAGTTAGATGGTGGCTTAATATAGCACTCCTACTACATGTTTTTGGTTAGTTCGCCCATTCCATTAGTTTTATGAGGACAATGAAATGTTTACAGGAGATTAAAAGAAAGTATGTATGAAAAATGGGATAACCTATGTTGATAAGTGGGAGATGTAATCTTGACCCGGTTAAGAGATCGAGTTAACTCAGTGTCCTCAAGGTTATTAGAAACTTAATGGGTTTAGGTTTTTCTTCTTTATCCTAATCTATTATACTTATAAATGTCAACATCTGTAAAAAACTTTTGATTTTTTATTTTACCCCTAATTATTACACTAAAGACAATTATGCCCACAAAATATTAGCTAGATAAACTATATCTCTACGACTTCCAAATTTTTTGCTGGATAAAATTTATCACTAATATTCAAATAAATGTCAGCATCTACGAAAAACTTTTGATTTTATATTTCATCCCTAATTATTACATTAAAGACAATTATGCCCACAAAATATTAGGTAGATAAACTTTATCTCTATGACTTCCATATTTTTTACTGGATAAACTTTATCACTAATATTCAAAATTTTTGTAAGATATTCCAAATTTTTTGAAAGATAAATTTTATCACTATATATTAGTTAGATAAAATTAACTAGATAAACTTTATCTTTATGACTTCCAAATTTTTTGCTGGATAAACTTTATCACAAAGATTCTAAAATTTTTGCAAGATAAATTTTATCACTATATATTAGTTAGATAAAATTTATCTCCACTATGATTTGTCATTCCATTATTTTTTTCTACTCAATTCGATAAATTCAATTATAATTCTAATATGATGTGGAAAAAATTGCTATTTTTTAAGATATAAACACAACCATCGAAAATTCATTATTCATTATTATATAATAAAAGATTAGAAAAGTAAAGAATTAAACCTGTATATTTTTCTTTCTTTCATACCTATTAGTCTTCCAAAATATTTTGAACAACTTTATTTTTCTTATTTCACCCCTAATTATTACACTAAAGACAATTATGCTCACAAAATATTAGCGAGATAAACTTTATTTCTATGACTTCCAAATTTTTTGCTGGATAAACTTTATCACTAATATTCTAAATTTTTTGCAAGATAAATTTTATCACTATATATTATCTCTATGACTACCAAATTTTTTGGTGGATAAACTTTATGACTAATATTCCAAAATTTTTGCAAGATAGTCCAAAATTTTTGCAAGATAAATTTTATCATTATATATTAGTTAGATAAAATTTATCTCCACTATGACTTGCCAGTACATTCTTTTTTATTCAATTCGATAAATTCAATTATAATTCTAATATGATGTGAAAAAGAATTACTATTTTTTAGGATATAAACATAACCATCAAAAATTTATTATTCATTATTATATAATAAAAGATTAGAAGAGTAAAAAGTTAAACCCATATATTTTTCTTTCTTTCATACCTATTAGACTTCAAAAATAATTTGAACAACTTTATTTTTCCTATTTCACCCCTAATTATTACACTCAAGACAATTATGCTCACAAAATTTTAGCTAAATAAACTTTATCTCTATAACTTCAAAATTTTTTGCTGGATAACTTTATCACTAATATTCCAAAATTTTTGCTAGATAAATTTATCACTATATATTAGTTAGATTAAATTTATCTCTATGATTTTCAAATTTTTTACTAGATAAATTTAATCACTATGACTTGTCAGTACATTTTTCTTTTCCATTCAATTCGACAAATTCAACTAGAATTCTAATATGGTGTGAAAAAAAAATTTGCTATTTTTTAGGTGATAAATACAACCATCGAAAATTCATTAGAAGAGTAAAGAGCTAAACCCATATATTTTTCTTTCTTTCATATCTATTAGACTTCAAAAATATTTTAAACAACTTTATTAGAAATATATATAAGTAGATATAGGAAGATAGACATATATCTCTCCTGTAACTTCATTAACATTTTTGGTCTTATATCTTTGCAAGGTCGACGGTGCTTGATGTTGTCAATATGTGAAGTTTTTTTTTTTCTATATCAGAACATACCTATTGTTGGTATGGTATATTCTTTACTTTGTTTTCCACCTATTTAGGTATGGCTATTGAATAAATGCTCTATTTACCTTACAACAATTTTTGAAATTGGAACAAAAATTAATTTGTGTTCAATTGAATTGGTGTTCCCATCAAATTGATAATGAACGCCCAAAAAAAGGGTATTTTTCATGGAATGAAGAGTTTAATCTATTAAACTAATCTCCTAATATTTAATTATTTATTATTAGTAGGCTTGTAGTGTTTTAGGAGTTATTATATTATAAGTAGAATTAGTTTTGTTACTAAACTTCTTGAATTCATGTGGTTGAATAGTTTTAGATTAATAAATTATATTTAAGAGTTTTCTTAGTCTTATGTTGTAATGCCAGAAATTCTTATTAGATTCAAGAAGCCATTAAATTCATATATTAGTAATCTTTTACTTCGTCAACTTCATACACTTCACATTTCTAAAAAATATAATCAAAATTTTATGATCTAAATTTTTTCACGTCATGTGTGCATTACTAGTCTATCTATAAGTTGAGATAACATTTATGTTTCGTTTGATAGGATGAAAAAGTGGGAGGATGGAAAGTTAGAAAGATAAATAAATTATCATGTTTGGTAATGATGAAAAAGTGGATGAATTAACTTTCCTTCCAACTCACCAAATCAATCCCTCTAAAATCAGAAGGAAAGTGGATGGAAAGTTTATTATTTGTGTTGAAATGTATCTTATTTATCTATATTTTTTTTTTATATATACATATATTATATATACATTAATTTCATATAAAAATACAATGGTAAAATATGTATATATATTAAAAAAAAAAATTAAAAAAATAAAAATAAAAATTTTATATTAAAAAAAAATATTTTTTCCATTTTAATTAAGGGTAAAATTTTTTGACTCAACACGATGACACGACTCAAACTTGATACGATACAATTAGTTAAATGAGTTAAGTTAGATTTGACTAATATTTAACACAAATATATAATGACTCAATACAAATCTGACACGACATGATTCGATTGTCACCCCTAATCTTAGCCAGCACAAAAAAAATAGTCATTTTTTTTTTCTATCCATCCAAACAAATACAAAGGAAGAAAACTGTATCCTTCTTACTTTCCATACTTGAAGGATAGAAAATGTATCCCTCCTACTTTTCATTCTCCCTACCAAACAAAACAATAATGTAAATTGGAATAGGATGTAAGTCCTCATCAAACACTCTTCTATATGTAGAATGAGAGTTAGACAAAAAATATACAAGTAAAATTGGAAACTTTCTCTCCTAAAATTTCTCTCTGTAGGAATCACCATCCTTGGTTTTGTAAGTATGGATGCTAAGAGAACTCTGATAGCCCTCTTTTCAGCAAATTATCAAACTTGTCGACACTAAACCATAATCAATTTAATCCACTAAACCATAATCAATTTAATCCGTTTTACGCGTAAAAAAGTAACTCGTATGTAATCTCTATTTCCACGACGCCGAATTGGATTTTAGTTGCACACCAAAAAAACTGTCAGGCCGTTTAGCAACCTTGAACATGTGAAAAATTACACTGTCTATAGTCCCTACCAGTTTGGTCATCATACATGAAGCTCTGTCATGATTTTTTTTTGTCGGCACTCAGAAACACAACCTGTTTCCTCCCACGCAAGGGAGTGGGACTAAGCCTCTCTAATCAAAGCATACTTGGCTCAAATTCAAACACGATTCTTGTTAAAAGTTAATAGTAAGCGCAGCAATCCTGCACACACTGAATCTTTTACTACATTTGTCACCTCTCGGGAGTTTTCAAATCAATAAGAAAAAATTGTTTCCCTGCACTTCGAAGTTGTACTTTGCTTCCAAAATTTACTTTTAGACAATAAGCAAGCAGTAAACAAATTTGGTTTACCAAATTTAATCATTAATCTCTTTATCTGTACAGGAGTTGATATTTTATTAACATGGGACAAACTTCAACGCTCATCTCATCTGCACATGCAACTCCTACTTGCACATCCTAAATAGACAGTACAATCAGAACTAGTGATTTGCTTCTTTGTTTTTTGAAAGGTGAAAAAAACATATAACTACAGATTTTCTATACCACGATTTGCATGGATACAGATTTTTATTCATGAGAGAATCATCATATCGAGAGGGGCGTATGGGAGAAGAGTTAATTTTTACTCCTTATACTAGCATAAAAGTCCATTAAACAGAAATAAGATGAAATTTTTTAATACTTTTTCTCCTATTTCATTATTATTACAAAGGCAGGATTACACACTATTAGAACACAGGGAAAAAAAAAGTTACATTATTTTCACATACAAGAATTAAGGATTTTTATTCAATAGAACAAGAATCATCATACGGAGGATAGGAGAAAATTTTCACCGTCATTTTGGCACGGAATCAACAAGAAGCGAGGTTACATAGGTTTTACACTTGGTTTTGGAATTTGTATACCCATCTCCATCCTTGTAGAGAAGATTCATGAAGCATGCAAGATTGAGAACCCGCATTAGAAAAGGCATCGGGACAGCGGTTGGATGGAGGCATTCTTGGTTTATATCCTTCCATGCATTTGTAACTTGTTTGCCAAACTCAGCATACGCCTCTTGCTTTGAGGCACCGTGTTGTTTCATGTAACATTCCACAGTTAATGCTTCGTGTCCTCTCTCTTGCTCATGCTAAAAAATGTAGAGGAACCACAAAGTTTATTCAGCAGAAAAACAAGAATTAGTACAAAATAGTTAGCAAAAAAGAAGGTGTTTTTTTGGTAATGGAGAATTGTTTTAGGGCTGCAACACAAAATCGGTGCACAAAATGAATCACAAAATGCTCATATATATCAATTAAATCTGGGTTTTGTGCCAATAGGCGATTGGAACTTATGACAAGTAGGTTTTTGCAATAAGATATTTCAAACATCTCTTTCTTACCTCGTGTTCTGCCATGTCATGCATGAGTCTACAAATCACGTATGAAGCTCTAACAATCAAAGACCTCCTTGGTTGCCAGTTCTCCCATGCCAACAAAGGAAGTGGTGGAAAGCATCATGTAACCACAGGAAACAAGCGCCACCTCCATATACTCCTCCGTTGTTGGTACATAGCCTTCATTAAACCACTTGGCCTCTGGAAAGTATGCTCTAATTAATTTTTTCATCTGAAACATGGAAAGAAAAGAAAAGAAGAAGAAGACATATTGTGAGTTTGTCCATCAGTCTAAAAATAGGTTTTTTTTATTTTATTTTTGCAAATTAGGTAATAACTGGGAAGTGTAAAAATACTTGCTGCTTCTTTAGCATAGTTGACGGAATATGTTTTGCCTTTCTCGGCCATCTCTTTCTCCATTTCACTATACACATCTAAGAGTGCACAATAACATAATCTCATACATTCTGGTAGTTGATCTAAAGCACTGATGTCCCACCTGTTACTCATGTAGTGCACATACATAGAGTTACTAATTAGTTCCTATATGTCAATTACAACTCAAAAAATTCTTGAAAAAGAATGATAAGATCTAAAACTGAGAGTGTTCTATTTGATTAAATTGGTTGAATTTGACCTTTCGATTGCATCAGTGAAGAGCACAAGTTCTTCAAGGGTCCCACATACATCATAGATGTCATCCACAATGGAAGTCATGTAAATTACTTTGGTTAATATCTTTCGTGAAATGAAATATTGGGGCTCAAAGTACACTTCCAATATCCAAAAGTAGCACTCCACCAATCTATCTCTTGCAAAAGGTAATTTTCTCGAAAAGTCTAAATCTTTCCACCACCTAAAACGTAAAAATAAAATAGAATCAATTGTATCAAATCCAAACTCTTCCTTAATCCATATGTTAATGGTGATGACAAGCCTCTGACTTTGTCAATGGACCAACCTTGTAATACCAATTAACTCTCTGATGCACTTTCTGCAATAGGTTAAAATCCACTTTTGCAAAGTTTAGTACTACTTGATTATGCAAATTGTCTTCTTGGTAAATAGACATGTAATGCCTCGACTCTAGCCTTGTTAAGCACTTGCGGATGGGCCATTGTAGAGCATGATTTACTTGCTCAGCCAGAGGATTGGTCAAGTGGGGTAACAAGAACTTGAGGTTGGTGGTAGTAAATGCTAGTGCTTCCTCTAGTATACCTTCTCCATGCACCCTGAGTTGTGTTGCTTCGTACAAGCTTAACAATCCCTGAACGTTAGTGTTGAGGGATTCCTTGAATTTCCCTTCCTCATCCTTAAACTTCTTGAACACATCTGTTTTGACAATTGACATCAAAAAATGGTACAAATTGAACCAGTAAAATGACTTTGCATATCAGGGCGCATAAACATGCGCTGCACACATGCATGTTTATTAATTGCTACAAATTATTTAGCCTAACAAAGAAACAAATTGGATACTTACCACAAGAGACATTTTGTCCTTGTTGTCTAAGCAATCGGAAACGAAGGGCTGAAGTGTAAAGGTCCTCGTCATCTTTTTTATCACAACTAGTACAACACTCATAAATGTGTCCTAAAACTGAATCAATCTCAGTATCGAAATGGTAAGACACGCCTAGACGCTGGATTGCATCAATCAAGTTCAGTTGCTGTGAAGGCTTATTAGCAACCGTGCCTAGCATCTTCTTCACTTCTTCTTTTAGTTGTTGATGTTGTTGCTCTGAATGAGTATCAATTTCCTGCACAAGCAATTAGTACTCATAATAATGAATGCATTATGATTCAAATCCTTTAACAAGTGAAGAATACACAGGAGTTTACGAGCTAATTCATACTGTAGTGTCAGAAGCATATCTCAGAAAATGGTCTCCCCAAACGCTAGGATGGTAATTTGCAGACCGACGGGTAACATTGGGGGCGGCATTTTGGGTGGCAACTGAAACATACATTGCCATTTTGTGGCTGTGGAGGGGCGAGGGAGAGGAGAATGACAAGAACACTTGCTAGTTGCGAAGGATTTATAAGTTCAAAGTTTGATTTTTTTTCCCTCCAATTGCTGGTATTGACTATAGAGCTTTCGTAGGCTATTTATAGTTCCACTTCCTGGTATTAGAACTTAAGGCACCAAATAACATGTGAATTTTATGATTCTTTTAAATTTGGGAAACGGGATAAACATAGAAGTGGCAATTGAGTCTGTGTGGAATTGTTCAGGGAATGCCATTTTAAATTCGTCTAGAGTATTAATCAACGTTAATCCAATTTATTTAATTAATTGTGTTAGCCATTCTGACACCGACTTATCTGTATTATGTCGTATTTGACTTAATTTATAGGAATTAAAAATTCAAAAGCAAGATTTAAATACCTCTAATATAATCCCACAACTCCTAGTTTTTCAATAAATTACAAAATGATTAAATCCAAATGATACTCAAAATAGAGAACAAATCCGCTTAATTTTAAATAATAAAAATACCAAATTTTGGTATTTTGTTCCTACAATGCTAGTTGGATTATTCTTGTTTGGTATTTTATTTCTACAACACTAGTTAGATTATTCTTACTCTTACGTCTTGTTTTTTTTTATTATTTTTGTTATTAGAACTCAAGTCACTTTATCAATTCTTGTCACATAAGATTTTAGTTATCTTATATTTGTATACTAGAGGTAATTAACTAATGCTTGAAGGCACTATACAACGTAAGTGATAAGTGATAAATTTAAGAGGAAAAAAATTTAATGTGAATAGTTTTGAAAGGAATGTTTGTGACCACTGGATGAATCTATTTGAAACCGTCGGATAAACTTATTGAAATCTGCTCTATTTTATATTATAGATTTTTTGATGTAGCAAAATTCGTCAATGTTATATTCAACACAACATGTCCCAAGTTAGGATAAAGAAGGAGGGTTGTGTTAGATAGCCGAGCTATAGAAGGCTGGAATTTTTCAAGCGGGGCTCATCCATTGTCTATAGAAGGTTGTTTTGTTTTATCAAACGGTTATAATAGCAATTTTATTTGAAACATAATATTGAGTAGTTAGGAAACAACACAATGACAAAATAAATGTAGTAGAAATGACATGATAGAATAATAAATGACTATATTAAATAAATTGTAGGAGTAGTTCCAATTGAGGATAAGTTAAGAACAAAAAAAATTAAGATGGTTTGACCATGTTTAACAGAGGCCGATAGCGGCACCGATTCAAAAAAATTAGATAATCTCTCTTATTGATAATAAAAAAAAATATGAAAAATATTTAACTTAAATGTGCGTATCGTACATAATCGAAATGAATAGCGAAGACCGACTCATATAATCGACCCCAAATAATTTGAACATAAGACTTGATTTGGTTTGATTTAGATTTTTAGATGCAGTAGTCTACTATGTTTTGAAATCTTTATTGAAGCTGCAGACAATTTTTTTGAAAGAAAACAAAACAAAAAAAAAAATCAATAAATCGAACTATAATTGACTCACTCAAATTGTAAAACTTATGAATTATCACTCAAACCATCTAATTAGCCCTGAAAATTTTGGCGCCCATACAAGGCACTCTTTTTTTTTTTTTTTATTCTAGTTAAAATGTAAGTAGGTAATTAAATTTTTTGTTATGATTAAAATATATATATATATGAGTGATCAAAATGTGAGTGAGTAATTAAAATGTAAATATGTTAAAATATTTATTGTAATTAAAATATAATTCATTGCAGTTAAATTTAAGCAATCTAAATCAATACTAGTTTTAGGATTGAGAACCGGTGACTGCTCACCCTCATTCTAACCACGTCTTCGAAGACCGAAATCAAATGTTAATAGTGCATTGAGTTACATCTTAGAGGGAGTTTCTGGTACCGATTTGGTACCATACCGTAAAAAATGTAAGATTATCAATTTTTTGTCATTAAATATTACTTACTAGAGCTGATAAGTTTGCCTATAAATGTTGTACCATTTGCCTAAATATTGTAATTTTAGCTATAATGGTGATAATTTTGTCTGTAAATGTGATAACATTATTTTAGAGGGTTGTAAACTCACCTCAAGAGAGATTGTAAGCTCACTTCACATATAGAGGTGGTAATTTTACTTTTACTGCTTGTAACATATTCTTAAATAGTTATAACTTTATATCCCAATGTAGTAATTTTACCATAAATTATCATAATCTCACTTTTAAAGGTGATAATTTTACATTTACATGTTGTAATTTAATCTCAAATAGTACTACCCTCACCTTTAAAAGTAATAGTTTTACTTTAAAAGATTGTAACCTTCGTTCCACATATTATAACCTCACCTCTAAAAATGATATCTTTACCTCTACAGGTTGTATCTTAACTATAAATAATTGTAACATTACCTCTGACAATAATAACTTTACCTTAAAATGTGATAACTTTATTTCAAGAGTAATAATTTTGTCTTTACAAATAGTAACATTACTTTGAAAGTGTAACTTCATTTCAATAGTAATGATCGATCATGATTATTTAGGATCAATCTCAATGCCTCTTATGGATCCAAATTATTATTATTATTTTTGTGATTCCTCTCAATTAGGATCGATCATGACTATAAGAGATCGATCTTAATGCATTTGATGGTCAAAAAATTTTTCTAATCTAAATTTCTGGTGGTTCCAATTAAATAGGATCAATTATGACTAGTCGAACCTTTTTTTTTTGGTTGAACTGATCCCAATCCTATATTTAATTACATCAAATTGACATGTAATTTTATAAAATTAATTTTTAATTTTATCCGTCTAACACTCAATTCATCAAAAATAATATTACATTGACCTTCAATTGTATTAAATTAACATTCAAAATTATAAATTTAAAATTCATCAAATTAACATTAAATTGTCATTCAACATTTTGTTATGTTCGAAATATAAATTGATGAAATTAAATATTACCAACAAAAAAAACTTAAAGGTTCAATTAATGTTAAAGGTTAAATTGATGAAATATTAATTTGGTGAAAATTAATGAAATTAAAGGTCAATTTATTATCAAATTGACAACAAATTGTCGAAATTAAATTTTAAATTAGTAAACTCGAATGTTAATTTGGTTAAATTAAAGGTTAATTTGATGTTAATTTAATAAATTGAATATTAATTAAATAAAACTGAAGGTTAATTTAGTGTCAATTTTATAAAATAAAATTTCAAAATTGATGAAGTTAAATATAAATTAGAAAAACGGTTCAAAATAAATATTAAATTTTTGAAATATAATATTAATTTGAGATGAAATCACCATCTTTTTGATGTAAAATTACTAAAATTAGGGGTCAAACTTTCAACTTTTAAATTAAATTGATGGCAAAACCACTTACGATCGATCTTAATTTTATATTCTATTTTTACTTTTTTATTATGCCCAGCACCTTTTCGTATGGTACCAATTTTTTCTCTATTTGGTACCATAGAATTCACCTGCTTCTTATCTCTTCCGTGATGTCGAATTTATGCTCTGGACGTCCTCTCAAACCAATGGACAGTGACGTAATCGTCCTCTCACACATGTTTTTTCACACGAAAAAACATTAAGGACCGGGCAAATTGCGTGATGGTCCTATTTTTGGGCCCCTAATTAATCTTGTACTAACAATGTCGTGTGGTACAAATTACTCTCTCTATTTTTAAATATATGTTATTTAAAAATAAAGATTTTTACATAAAGATCGAAGAAGTTATTAAATAATTTTAATTTGAGTTAAAAATAATTACACAAGACTAAAATATATTTACTCAATACGTATTAGGAAGAAAAGGAATATGAAAGACACTTAGCCTCCACCTAATCTAATGTATTGAAAATTTAATGCTCCATTTGGTAGGAATGATGGAAAGTAAGAAGGATGGAAAGTTGGAAGGATACACTTTCTATATTTCAAGAATGGAAAGTAATAATGATATATTTTCCTTCTTTTGTGTTTAGTTAAATGAACGAAAAATAAAAATAACAAATTTAAAAAAAAATAAAATTTGTCTAATATTAAAAGTGATAATCGAGTCGTGTCATGTCAGATTCATGTTAAGTTATAAAATTATAAGTCTTTTATATTTCTTACTCACGTGTCAGGTTATTTTCAAGTTCGTGTCGAGTTATAATCAAGTTCGTATTATAAAATTCGTATCGAATTCGAGTCATGTCATCATGTTAAGTCGAAAACTTTTACCTCTACTTAAGATGAAAAATGTATTTTTTTTAATTTAAAATTTTAATTTTATTATTTTTAATTTAATTTAATTTTTTTAAATATATATATATATATATATACATATTTTTGTTATTGTATTTTTATATAAAATTAATGTATATATAATATATAGATAAATAAGATACATTTCAATACAAATAATTAATTTTACATCCACTTTCTTTTCGATTTTGAAGGGATTAATTTTGGTAAGTTAGAAGGAAAGTTAATTCATCCACTTTTTTCATCTTTCTTATTTTTTTTCCTTATCAAATATGATGTTTTATTTATTTCTCTAACTTTTCATCTTTTTATTTTTTTTATCATATCAAACGGAACACAAGGATAAATGTGGAAGAAAAAAATATTATTAATATTTTGATTTTATTAAACGATATATATTAAAAAATAAAAAAAATTATGTAAAATAATAGATATTTAAGAGTTGAGGGAGGACAACCTGTCCAAATCAATCAAACAACGTGTAAAACAACTGTATTTCTTGGGAATGCAACAGTGGCGGTACAACACATTTTAGTATCATCATCATCATCATCAAATGTGTGTCCTCGGACTATTAAAACAGCTAGCGACCATTCAATGCAGATATGTGGGGAAAGGGGCGGGCTCCGGTACAGATATTTAATTTTTTGGTACCACATGAAAAAGCATTTAAGTTCGTAAGACAGTATATGTTGCCACGTGTAAAGTAAAAGGTCAGACA